TAACATCTGGGAATCATTTCTGCAAAGCTTCCCTCAAACTCCGTTTTAATTATTTGGTAATATAGTGAATGTGACTGAAAAAAGCTCTATGCAATCCAGTGACAACTGCTTTCATTATATCCATAATTATATCCACACCATCATTGTCTCATAGCTTCACATCCCAAATATCTCAGTAGTCAAAATTATTACTTTTATGTTCCTACTAAAAGGTTTTAAAATTGACTTCTTGGTTTTATACTATTATTAACTGGACATGTCGCAAGATTGCAAATAGATCATTTCAGCCCTATTTTCACTTACCAAAATTCCAATAAGTCATTAGAAATGAATGTAAGAGTCCTATTATTCAATGACTAAGAGAAAGATATGTACTGGCTCAGCTGTCTAGATCATCTCTATTTTATAGCCTTGAAACTCTACTAATCCATGGATCTATTTTTTGTAGCAGACGTGATCTAACTGAATGTACTGGTTGAACTGCCTTCTACTTAAACAAAAAAGGACTTTCTGGCTTTGGAAGTCATCAGCTATTTGAGACAAACTCTATCCCCTCAACTTTAACACTGGAATCCTACTTTTTAACCTCATTTAGGTGATCACGTACTTAGAAAACATAAAACCACATAAAACAACTTATGAGATAAATGAAAAACATTTTTTTAAAACATCTCCAAGAGGGTAAGTTCAAAATAATAATAAAAGTTCCACTGGTCAAATCGATTGGTGTAAGCATTCCATTGGGTGTTCAGAAGTCTAAGAGCCATGGTTTCCTTGAATCTCTAATACTTTCAGGAAGATGTGTGCACTAAACCATTTCAAGAATGAAAATCATTAGAAGGCATGTATTCCAGGCTGCAGGGATAGATCACATTTATCTTCATATTCTCCACAGGTATCATCTGTTATGATGCTTCAAATAACATGCCTACTGACTGAACAAAATGTTAGGCTACCAGTTAGAATATAAAGAAACAGGAACCTTCTCTTCCTTGCCCTTTTTGTTTACTCCCATCTCCACTTATCTCAAGATCATTATAAAACCACACACACACACACACTCTTCATACTGCGGGTGTTGAATAATGTTAGACTCTAGGAGACATAAGGTACAATTACATTGTACCATAACTGGAGATAGGATAACACACATAATAGAGAGAGGATAGGATAGCAGAGATAACTCAAGCAGGGATTTATCACTGAAATGTGGTGAGGTCCAGGGTATTAATTCCTTTCCAAAACACATTCATTTAAAAAATGGGATAGAGCATGCATTTTAGTTATTCCAGTTCTATAACTAATATATAGTAACCAGGTGTCATTTCCACAGTTCCAGGACTGTTCTACAATCTCCAGAACTTTACATACATCCCAAGAAGCAGTTATAGGAAAAAGAAAACAGGGGCTGGGGATTTAGCTCAGCGGCAAAGCGCCTGCCTGGCAAGTGCAAGGTCGTGAGTTCGGTTCCCGGTACCGGAGAAAAACCAAAAAAAAAAAAAAAAGAAAAAGAAAAAGAAAACAAACAAAAATATAGCATTCTTATTATTTTGAACCTAAGTTTAAAGTAAGAAACATTAGGTTCATTAAAAAGAGCAAACTATGCACTATAATTAAGAAGCATGTGAGAGCACTCCAATCAAACAAAAACAAATTTGACATTAGCATTTTTTGAAACCTAAATCATCACAGACCCTTTGTTGATGCAATTAGTGAGTTCTGGCATTTGTGCATGGCCAGGTTGTTCGTTTTTGTCATGTAACATTTCAGGAGGTTTCAGTGCATAGTCTGAGGATGCTGTTCTTCCCCTACCAGCACACACATCCATAATTTGTTAAGACCAAAACACATTTGGAAGAACATATATCTTTGCTATTTACAGCTTACAGCATTTTAACCTAGTCATTTTTGGTCCCTTTGAAACTAAACGAAGAATTTTGTGTTCCACTTTTATGATGAAGTATAGACTTCCTATGAATGGCAAACACTTTAGTTCAGAGATTGAGTGGAGAGGTACTTAAAATATTTATAACTGGTTAAATTCAGAGGCTGAAAAAATAAGTACAAAATAAAATTTTGAAAATGCAGAAAAATTTTACACTCTGAATGGATACACTGCTACTTCAAAACACTCAGCTTTTCTAAAACTCAAACTCATATTCGAAAGAATTTTGTGCTTTCCAGTGAAGCCACCCAGTGGTAGCCCTTAGCTTACTGGATTATTTGCAGAGATTGATTGTCTGAGGAATACTGCAATTTTCCTGTTTGTTACGTCATACATCATTTTGGCTTTCTCGTATTTCCTGATGGCACAAAGCTTTTTCTTCTCTAAATCCAGTGTTTGCTTGACATAAAAATAAAAACTAGTAAAACTAATTACACAAAATGAGGGAAAAACTTAAATCTCAATTATAGAATAATTAATTATAAGAACCATTAGGTGGAATGATCATACTTGAAGTTATGCCTCATCAATAAAAATTCTCATACCAATTTATTTTCAGGTACATTTGTGACTTTAATAGCCACTTCTTTACAGGAAGCATCTGGTTTTTTTTTGTTGTTTTTTTTTTTTGTTTTTCTCCGGTACCGGGAATCGAACTCACAACCTTGTGCTTGCCAGGCAGGCGCTGTGCCGCTGAGCTAAATCCCCAGCCCCTACAGGAAGCATCTGTGAATAATTATTTAGTCAACAATTACTTGTGGGTTGCAGATTATGTGCCAGGTATTGATCTCTGCACTTGGGTTACAGAAATGAGTAAGAGAGAGATATTCTGGTCTCATGAAGCCTGTATATTAATATAGGAGCATGATGCTAAATAATTAAATATGTAATTTCAGGTGGAGATAGAGGCTCGGAGGACAAATACAGTGGTACAGGAGTGAGGGCAGTAGTAATGGGGTTGAGCAATTTTTGAATACAATGGTCATGGAAGGCCTGGTAAGGTAACACCCAGACAGAAGTGTCAGAAAGGAAAAGCAAACAGAAATCACCTTAGATTTAGATATCATCCAAGGCTCTACACTTCAACGTGGCCATCAACAGAGCTGCTATTCTGACATCTACTGAATCACAGAGTACTGGTTCTAAGCCTAGTATGACTTTGCTACTAGGAGATACTGGGCAAGGCTGGGAGATAAGTTTGATTCTCACACCTGTGAGGAAGTTGCTATTTACACCTAATGGGCAGAATCCACAGATAGCATTAGATATTCTACAACGCACAAGGACAGGACTGACACACCCTAACAAATGACCCAATCCAAAGACCCACTGGATCCAAGAAATTAAGGCACAACTGGCCTTTCCCAAACAATACCTCAGAGAACACAAACAACAGAATTTGCCTGTAGAGATTCTAGGCAGAGCACTGGTGATTTATTTACAGAACATCCTTAGTGATCCATTAGAGTAAAACACAATTACTAATATTTCATTAGTTTTAAAAACACTGTTCAAGGGGCTGGGGATTTAGCTCAGTGGCACAGCACCTGCCTGGCAAGCACGAGGTTGTGAGTTCGATTCCTGGTACCGGAAAACAAACAAACAAAAAAAACCACTGTTCACATATAAAAGCCATACTACTGTGGTTTCAAATATTCAGTAACTAAAATTCACACTAATTTCAACTCTCTCCAGTTCAAATTACTGATTTTTAACAACGTGATTTAACTTGTGTGAAGAAAAGATTTCAGACAGTTAATATTTTTAGGGAAAAAGTGAGTTGAAAGGGAAACATTTGAAAACTCCTTCATAGGAAAGAGATTAGCTTTTAAGTAAACATTTAGCCATCCCCAGCTAAGAGTTGAGATAGGAAAAGAGCTACTTGATTTAGTTTGACAGCTACACAAGTTTCAGTATTAAGATATTTTTAATGTCAATGGAAAATCTTCTTAGTATGAAGACTTCTGTAATTTTGACTCATGAATGAACATATTTTCTAAAACTATTTTAAGATGCCATCTGCCTTGGCATCTCTTCCACAAGTGCAATCTCATGTTTAAAGAGCAAAGGAGGAAAAGAGATATTTTATTTTCTTTCTTACTTAAAGCAAGTATGGAGATAGCTTATATGTCAACTGTAAATCATCTCTAAGACAAGAACACCATTTCATAAACATTCTGCTACTGGAAAAACAGTAAAGCCTCCTTATCACAGACACCATGAAAACAAGCTACAGAAAAAGCAAGCTGGTGGTGTGCAACACATCACATGTGCTGGAGAGTAAGACAGTGGGAGGGCCGAAGGCTGTGTTAAGGATACGGGCTCCTTCCCCCATAACTCACCTGAAGAATTACAACAGGCAGATTTCTCAGCCACTTTACAAAGCCATTTCTTTGTCTGTAAGTCAGGGGTAGTGGTCATCAAAGGTCCCCCAGGACAGTCATGAGGATTAAAAGAGACATTATATAGAAATTCTTCTAGTTCACCAGGCACTACATGAGGATTTGGTCCTGACAGACAGCTATCATAGACTGCGATTAGCTGCACGTGGATTTGGATGATCCTGCAGTGGTGTTTTTTTACACAAACGTCTATATACAGCAATGTGATGAGTCATGAGGGAAGGCTGCTATACCTCTGTGTACAGGAGGCCCCTGAACACCTGCAGTTGTATCCCACAGGATACCACCTGAGCACCTGTGCCCTGGGAGCAGGGTGAACTGAGCGGTTGCTGGTTCTGCTTTTCTGTTCTCCAGCTGAGTGGCCCACGCCCCATGTAGCTGGGTAACAAGGCAGCAGTGGAGAGACACTGAGGAGGACGAGAAGAGGAAAGGTGCAAGCAAGCTGTACTTTGGGTACATTAGTGCTGACGTCTGGCAACTAACATGAGATGCAGGCAAACAGCAAAAGCTCCATTTAAGTTTATTTGCAGTGCTTTAACTTCTGATTCTATGAAATAATCAAGAAGCAAATCTATAGGAGACAAAGGGTCTTCGAAGCAACTAGATTCAAGATGGATCATTGTTTATGTAACTTCTGGCTACTCCAATCATACCTCAAGTGTCTTGTATCCAGTATTTCTGAAATAGTAAGGGTTGATTTCACATGGTTTGAGCCTTCCTGAAGCAAGTTTCCTACAGATCTGAGAGGGAAAGGTTGGAGCCTTCCCGAAGCAAGATTTCACACGGTTTCACATGGTTGGAGCCTTCCTGAAGCAAGTATCCTACAAATCTGCGAGGGAAAGGTTCTCAGTGCTCTTTTGAGGAAACATCAGAGGAGCCAGTTATAAACAGTGGCCAAGGGCACAGGAAACCGTATCATTTTCCAAATAAAAGTCAAAATAAGGTGGAGATTCACCACACTTGTTGTGAATATAGGCAGTGATCACTTCAAACCTGGGATTGGGTTAACTTCAAAAGGATTAAACCTGAGTCTTTAAATGGGTTTGCCTTTCTCATACACTACAACAGCTGACAGACTTACCAAATTGGGGAACAAATTGGTTCCTTTGGTAAAAGTAACATAAAACCATAAGAAAGTGAATGTTGCTAAGAATGTTGATTTTTTAATATTTCAGAATATGCATTTCCGATTTTTATGTATTAGCTAGAAAGTACCAATGATTAAAGTAGCTGATTCATTTAATTGACCATAGTGCTTTACCCTGACAACTGAAAACAATTTGTTTCAAAATCTTTGCCAAGGTTAAGGGAATTGAAACTGCACAACCTGTAAGCTCCATATACTTCTCTTTCAACACTTTAAAAATGCACTCTGTCCATTTTAAGGAAGACAAGGTGCTGATTATCCTCACGGTTAGCCAAGACATAAACTAAAAATTTTTGGCAATACAGAGTTTAAATATGTCCTTTCTTACCATAAAGCAGGTTCCTGAAGCAAAAAGCTACTAAGGGTGGAGCAGAATGCATTAAAAAACATTTTTCTTTCCTCTTAGTCTGTGACAACTTGATTCAATTTATGAATGCCTAATCCTTGTTTAAGGTTAAATTCTAAGGTATAAACCTTATGGAAGTTTTCATATAAGGAGCCTGAAAATCAGCTTAATAAACAGGTATTACCTACCATCAGCAGGTACCTTATAAATTTGTCTAGACCCAGGTGATGAGGTAGTAAAATTTTCTTTAACTTTTCCATGGACTTTTTGTAGAAGTAACAAAAGGGGTTAGTGAAATGCTTTTTTATATCTGTAGGGTAAAGTAATAGTAAATATTGAGGAGACTACAGATATTGACAGAGCTAATAAGGTCACATTGACTTTCCAAGTGATTTTCATGCTGTTTTAAGTATTTTTAAAAAATTTTGTTTTCTGAGATGTTGACAGTTCTCAATGGTGCTTTGATTAGACATTTGTAGTACTGCTTGATGATGGGAGAAAGGAACTGAGTTTCCTGTTGAGGGAAAAGAGAAAGGCTTAGGTTGGAAGAAACTGAATTGTTTTTGTCACTCCCCTCATTCCCATCTACCACTCAAAAATTATGACCAGGTAACTCAGCACAAACGAAGAGGAAAATGTGACGATTTACTGTACTCACATACACAACAAGGGGACAGTATTACAGTGTTATTTACATTCGACTCCTTGGTATTTAAAATGATTCAACTGCAGCTTGACCCCTCCTCGTCTATCACATGTTCAAGAAGCACAGCAAAATCTCTATGTTCTACATACAACAACCAAAAATGAAATTCAACACATGGAAAAAATACCTCATAAGCAACATGGAAAAAGAATCTCTTTACACTTTCCAATTCTAAGTATGTTTCATATGGTATCTTTTTCTAAACTGCTTGTAAGAGCAATTTATGAGCTCCTGATTACTATAACATATTGTGCTCTTAAGAAAAAAGTAGTAGTAGTTTGGCGTCCTGTTAGTATCTCATTTTTTATAGATTACTATATTATCTTCAAGTTAAGTTGAGCCTGACAATAATAAAATTAACCCACTGCTCATCTATGCTCACTTAGTTTTCATTCTCATTCATTTTTCCACTCTGCTCCTAAAGGCAGACTTGGAAAGGAGGAAAACCCATTTTCAGTGGTCTAACATTCATTGGTAGTTCCCAGACTTCTGTTCTAGAAGTCAGTATCTGTTGAATGTGAAAACAACTTGAGAAATCACTAGAGACTCTCACAGCAGAACAAATAGCACTTATACTTTCTGTTTAAAATGTTATAAAAATACATCAAGGACATCAGACAGACAGATGCTCAGAGAAAAACTGACCACAAAGGTTTGAATCAAGACAGGAAATCTCATAGTGAGATACAAATAGTAAAGAGGAAATTTGGTATTCAGTTTGGGGCAATCAATAATAAAAGACAATATGCCAAATTAAACAAGATTCCAACAGCTCCCTCTGTTTTGAGCTAAATAGTACAGATGCATGCTTAAACTGGAGGACTGGAAGAGTCATGGTATTTTTTACACTTGAAGAAAATTTAAAGCTGTCTGAAGTCAGGTTTGATACTCTTTAGTAGATTCTGCTAAGATAATTAGTTTCTTACTAAAAATGCACTGGCATCCCACATGTGTCAAGTGGAAGAGGACTCAAGACTCCAGGCTCTCACCGATTTAGAATGTGAATACTGGAGGCTTTTAGGCCACAAGTAGCATACACAAGGGATTTATTTGACCCACTCAAGTTTTCTAAAACTCAGGAAATTGCACAAAAACACCTATATTTTTCTTCTTTTGAAAATCAGAAGATGCAAAAAAACTTGCACTACATTTCCAAGTGATCACAAACCCAAGTACCACCAGTCCTATGTCATTCACTCTGCCAGTCTCACCATTCCCACTGAGTAGTACCCTAGTCCCTCACCAGGTACCCAAGTCCCTTCCTAGCTTCTGCATGCATGTGACTATGGGGTCCTTGCCCTAGAAGTAGAAGTATGTGTGACTTCTGCTATAAACTTAGGTTTAGACCCTACTGAAGTTTAGGATATGAGCATTTCCTTCAAGACTTGGGCCAAGTAACTGAAATGATTGGCAAAACTTCCTTCACATACAGTACTATGGAAATTGAAAACAACAAAATTTGAAATTATTAAAGCATTGCACATTACATAGTAATTCTCAACATACTATATTGGTACTTGATTCTCATTTGAGGTAGTCAAAGAGAACTCAAAGAAAGCCTTAATTTGGTTTTCATGAGTCAATCTTTATAAATTGTGTCAGCATACCACAAGAATGTATAAACATGCAATGGTATTACTGTCATTCTGTGACCATTTTCATAATCAGAACAATAAGAATAAATTCTTAAGTCTTTACAGCACTAATTTTGATAATCCAATTTCTATCCCTTTAGATTAATGTAGGTAGGCCAGGGATTTAACTCAGTGGTGTAGCGCCTGCCTAGCAAATGTGAGGTCCTGAGTTTGATTCTCGGTACCCTCAACCCAAAAATTAGATTAATGTAGGTACATTTTGAATGTATTTTTAAATTGCCTGACTTATGATTGTTCATGAAATGCATACAGCACATGTAGTAATGTATTAATCTTGGTATCTGTATGTACCTAAATCCCCTTTTTCATTTCAACAGACAGAAATATTGGCACCTGTTTTTTACTGAAGTCCAAGATAACTTATAATGTAGTTGTGCCATCAGAAACAAACCAGAGAAAATGGACTGTCCCAGAGCAGTGGAAGTACTGTATCCTTTGTAACATTACTCAACTGAGAGGATCAGTCAACAGTAGTCTCAGAAAGAGACACAGTTCAGGCATTCTAATGGAAAAGGAAGCCCTTAGGAAGTTATGCAAATTTAAAGGAGGTATAAATTCATTTCAAAATTCATTTAAGTTACATACTTAAAGCATATATGCTTACATTTTTCCTAGTGGCCGCTTAAATAATTTCTACTGGCTTTAGAATTTCTTCATCATAAATTAAAGAATTATAATATATGATCACTTAAAGGTCAATTTGTTTCTGTGCTTACAATATATGCATGTGTTCATGTTTTTCTTTCCCCCATGCTAACCTCATTGACAGAATCAAGCATGGATTTGTATTGCACGGAGCTATGCTCTCCTCTGACTCCCACCATGCATGCTAATGTGTTTCCTACACCTGCGCTCTCACTCACTAATGGCTGGCTGGAGAGACCCTAGAACACCCACTTCTCATGAGATCTGGGGCCACTGTCATCAGCATGACAGTCCTGCCACATAAGGATAAAAATACTTCCTTTATCCAACTGAGGCACTGGCAAGGGTCAAATGAGTTAAACTGTTTAAATGTCAAATTTCTAAGGTCTGTGAGGTCGAAGTGCTGGATAAGAAAACATTGTTAAAACTGAGACAAAAAGTTAACTACTGAAGGAGAAAATTTCTGGCTAAAATTCAAGATCTAGGATGAATAGCACAGGATAGAATCAAGAAAACAGCTTTAATTTGGGCGAATCTGGCTCAAATTCCTGACTATACCATGAACTTATGGTTTGGACAAGCCCCTTAACCTCTCCAATTTTGTTTACTTATCAGTGGAACTGAGACAACAGGACCTGCCTTTCAAGAAGGTTGCACACATGAATGACAGAACACATATTAAATTTATTAGAAAGTGCTCACCAGGAAGTAACTAAATATATTATTTCCTTTGCTTTTCTTTGCTTTTAATTCTCTTCATAAGTTCCTAGGTAACACTGTAACTTAAATGTCAACAATAAAATGTACATACTTTAAAATTTCCACTTTTCCCATAAAATTGCAAAGTATTTTGTTCACTTACTACACAGAACACTGTTGTGTGTCACCCGTATTTCCTTTTTAAGCTTGAAGCATTTATTCCCCCAACTGCTGGGCAGGATGTTGCCTGACTATCCTCAGTATCCACTTTTGACAGAACTGTTCCTTGACTATAGAAAGCCAGTTTCCTGGGGCAACCTGTGTCCAGTGGCAGGGTGGCATGGAGGCATGGAGTTGTAAAGGCCAGGCCTGAATGTTCCAACTCAGTACAATGCTGGAGGCCTCAGCACTGTCTCCATGGGTCAGCTGAGGCCTTAGGCAAGGCCACACCAGAGCCCACTGCTCTCCTGCCCACTTTTGCTGCCCTGCCTTCCACAGGTACTGTACACAAGGCACATCCTAGTAAACTCCCAGTCTGTCTCCTGGAGAACCTGATGCACAGCAACAACACAGAAACTATC